AACAAAAAAATAAAAAAAAATATAAAATTAAATTGACCTAATTTGGTTTGATTTTCGTTTTTTGATTGTAAAAATTGAAGCATTCGGGTTTTTGTCACTCTTTGTAAGCTTCATTTGTGTTTGGATTGCTTATTAAAAGTACATACATTTTCTGAAAATTTGTGTCAATTTGACCCAATAGTAGTTCCTCATTAATATTAACGGTATTTCATATGCGGGGACCATATTACGAGCAGCTTTCGGTTGCATGTAAAATGATCCAGAATATGTATGTATATTAAGGTGGTTAAAAGTTGCACGTGAAAAAGAAAAGTACGAATTTTATTGGCGTGTTCTATACTGTTCTATACCCTGTTTTTTGATTTTGAAATCAAAAAATATTTAGATGCCGATCAAAGCGCTCAAAGTTTTGCATGCATTTTATATGCGAAAAAAAACTTTTTTCGATCAGAAACTCTGTTTCTATTCAGGCCATTTGCAATAATAATATCTAATTTTTTGTTTTACCACTTTGTAACACTGGCAATTTTTTGTGTTTTTAAGGATGCTATAAAAAGTGTGTAATACTTGAAAATTGTTAAAGAAATAATTGGATATTACTATTGAAAATCTCGGGAAGAGATCAAAAAGTTTCCCGATCGAAAAATATTAATTTTCAAGGAATTCTGTACCATTTATCAGAAGAATTGTTTTTTACCATATAAAATACATACTAAATGGAAAGCTTTGAGCGCTTTGTAAATATTTTTGGATTTCAAAATAAAAACACGTTTTTTGATATAGAACAATCCTCTTGAGTGGGAGCATTTAAAATCCGACCTTAACCATATATTTATCCTGTAAAATTTTAAGACTGCCCACTTTTTTTTTACCCACTACTCTGTCTGATGCTAAGATTAAACAGTAACCTTTTTTGAATATTGGTTTTCAAAAAGTCTTAGCTGACCCGTTGTTAATAACAATTACATACCTCTAGCCGAGCAGCCACATCAAACACACGGCGACCTATTGATTTAGTGTTCGGCGTACTCCGTTCGATGCCATTAACTCAACTACAATGAAAATGGAATACAAAAACTCCAGACATTTCTTAAAACAAAGACTTACTTTCCATCCATTGAAATTCAAAATAAGTCCAAATTCGAGTAGATTTCTGTAGTTCAGTCGTCAAGATTTCAATAACAAAGTGGCAACAAGTTGAAAGCTTTCGCAAACTGTTTTCTTTCGCCGAAATGTTGTTTTCGCCGTCAAAATTTGCAACAAATTAAGTCGAGCCGTGAGTGGTGTTGCGCTATTGACCTATCAACAACATATGCTTTATTGCGAAATTCATCAGCAAAAGCTGACAGAAAGCAACAGTGAACACATGCGAGTACATACGACGACATACAAATGCGAAAGTGCACTCGTAAAGACACATATTGCTGTGAATTAGAGCGAACAAAGTCTGCAACAAGGCAATAAATGCGGAGGCGGTTGTGGCGATAGTAGAAAGCACTCAGCAGCTACAGCAGCAAGGCTGTCAGAAAGCCACACCAAAGGGGTAAATAGTGGCTGCGGCAAGTAACAGCAAGCGCAGGACTTGCTATGTTCCTGGCAATGCTTAGTAATTGCACACAAAAGCAGCTTCTCTACATGCACACACATATTTACTCAGATATGTACATTGTAGTTGTTGGCAGCTGAGGCAGCGCTTCTGCAATAAAGCCAAACATTACGGCAGCAGAGTAGTACAAAGTGAATTTCGGTGGCTGAAAAAGTGTTTGTTGTTGTGTATATTTAGTTGCATGTGACTGGTGTTGCAGCCATACTGTTTTCGTTGGTTATTCTGAAGTTTGGCTGTTTATTTGATTTATCGCTGCAACATGCAACTATCAATGCGCTGCAGTATGTTTGTATGTACATACATATGTACACATATGTACACATATTAGTGCATATGTGCCCGTGTGCGGCCACAGAATGGCAGCAACAAAACCTAAATTATTAGCAGTATCGAGCACACAATCGCGTTAGCCACATCAACAAGGACAACAACAGCAACAACAACAACAACAACAATAATAAGAAAATGTGCATAAGTTGCTTGTGAATAGCTATAATATGTAGCATAAAGCGCATGACAGGCAGAGCAGCATTGTTGTGGCAACATGTAGATATGTATATATGTACGCATATGTACACGTGGCATTGAGCAGCGCATGTGTTTGAATAGCAAATTATCGGTGCAATGGTTGGAGGGTGTACATACACAACAAAGCTCTTAGCCCACAAACCTAGCATGCAAACATAGATTGGCACATACATACATACATATACGCACGCACTAATATAATGCATTCTACTTAATTTAGGTTGTCGTGGGTGCTATTTACTGCCGAGTAAAATTTGACTAGCGTCAGCCATATGCACTTGCTGCAAATGCTTTCAAAAATTAAATGATTTACGTTTTGGCGATGTTACAATGATTGTTTTTGCTTTTACATATATGTACATATATAGTTGTCGCTACTATGGCTATTATAGCATTAGATAGCAGTGCCTCTTTCAAGTTGGAACACGGGCTTCACTGCTAAAGGACATGCCCCCTCGTATGAGCATAGTCTGCATAGTTGGCGTGTACTAGCTGTTATTGCGGAGTAGGCAATGTTTCGTTCTTTTTCCTTGTTGTTGTGTTGATATTATGTTGTGACCGCTTTTAGTGCTTCTTGTGCGTACACATAACTCTATGACCTGTGCTTACAAACATACACATGTGACTCCGTAGTTGCCGGTCTTTAGGTACTAAAAGGTTATCTTACTTTGTACTAAATTCATAAAATAGCAAAGTAGTTAAATAAGCCTTATACTAAAAAATTCACACATAATGTGGTTCACCGTACTTTACAAGGTTCGATCGCTAGAATAAAAGTTCCTTGACGGAAAAAACTCGAACATGTAGAACCGACTGTCTTTTGGGTATGAAATTAAATACATCCCTCCGATGAATCAGACCTACATCATATATATAGTCTATTATAAACAGGCCATTTACTATTAAGAATCAATCAACACCTTAGTCAAATCTCAATCATTAAATTCCATGAATGTTTGTTAGGGGCAAATCTTGCAATCAACTTTTGACCAACTACCTGATGACCTAGAGACTTGAAAGTTCACAGTTGGCTCACGAAATCCGATAGGTGGCACAGGAGTCGAGATCTTTAAAAAACTCGTATTTATAATCCGATTTTGTTCATATTTAGAACGTATATTAACTACATGAAAAGGAATAACTCCACTAAAATTCTTCCTGATAGGTTGCGCACGAGTTGATATATTTGGCAAATCAGTATTTATGATCCGAATTCATTCATATTTAGAAAGCAGTGCTAATTTTCTAATTTTTATATGTATAAAATCAATAAAAATTTCCTAGTTTAAACAAAATAAAAGTTTCGAATTTTCATATTCTGGTATATGAAGACCGGAAGTATCCGGCTTAGGCACTCCACACATTACGCGCCTAATCTTAGTAGAGTAATCGTTTCGACATGCCGAAACGAATGCATGACGACTCCACTTCTGCACACTACCGCGCCCTGCATAAGCCCTTGAGGCACACACATACCACACATTATATATGTATTTTCTGGCCGTTCTTTTTCAATGATACACTTTCGCGAATATTTCTGCAGTAAAATATTGCATAGGCTTATAGTTTAGTACTATTAGCACGAATTTTAGCACAAAATCATTAATTCTCAGTTATTTCCTATTGAAGTGACAAATAATTTTTATTTCCAACACAAAAAAGTAAATAAATGACGATTTCAAAACAGCAAGCGCCTGACAATGTTGGGCGCTTCGATTCATGAAGCTTTTATGATTAGGCGAAAACATGATTATTATTGTAATGTACAGATCATCATTCAAATACATGCGTTCGTAATAAAAGCTTCATACTTTAGTATGCCGAAACGATTACACTGCTATGATTAGGCGCTTAATGTGTGGGATTGCCTTACTCGGAATTCGAAAAAAAAAATATTAAAAAACCATCTAAAAATATTCAAAAAACTGGCTGAACCCGATTTGGAGAAACCGAGTCAATCACCTTATAAATAGTGTTCTTTAGTAACGATAGCAGTCTGAAAAATTAATTTTTCCCTAACAAAATCTTATATTTCGAGAACGAAAACGAAAACAGATTTCAGAAGAGTAGTCTCCTCGAAATATAAAAAATAGAACGACCTTTAAAATTACCTTAAAAAAGAAAAAAAAGTAAGTTTTAAATTTGTTCCGTTTTTGGCATGAAAACAGTAGGCTGTGAACTGTTTAAAATGGTTTAAATACATACATAGTATTTGTGCGCCATGGATTCCATTTTATGGTTGCCCGAACCAAAAACGTATTTAGATAAGCTTTTTTTTTAAAGTTCATTACAGGTTAAGCTCCCCTAAGGGGACACCGATGGTCAACTACTTTTTTCCCGCCTATATGAGATCCGCCTGCAAGTTTATTGCCTAGTTTTAGACACGCAGCTATTATATTAAAATCTATTATTAAAGCCGGTCGAATTACGCCTAGAATTTGTTTAATGCCAGAATGGGGATGGATTTAGTTTAGGTCGCACTCTAATTAAGGGAGGTAAATATGTTTTGTCTAAGGAGCTGTTTATGGAGTTGGTTAAATTCGCTTCGACTGTGGTTAAAACTCTGTAGATCCAGAGGAAGCTTAGTTTTTCTAAGAGCTAAAACCAGAGCTATGTATGACATATTAATCATAAATTCGTAAAATTTAAAACCTTTTAGAATTTCTGCGATACAAAAAAACAAATTTTTTCAAACCCTGGTAGTGAACGGAATTTTTTTCTTTTAAGTTTTAAACTTTCGTGGATGAATTTAGTTTGTAAGTAAAACAAAAAAACAGGGTGGCCCGTGATGCTGATATTTTAAGCACCGACTTAGCTACATGCATACTTTGTTCCGAAATAAATCGTCCTTAAAGAAGGGGGAAAAACTTCCGATTTAGCCGCGATTCATATACAACATTTCAATTTGTATTTACATTATATATTTTACTGAAAAAATATGTTTACGATTGTTTTTTATTATCGTAACTAGAAAAAGTATTTAAACAACGTACTCTAACTTGATTTTAATTCTCTTGCAGAAACCATATGCGTGTCAATTGCCCGGCTGTACAAAGCGCTACACGGATCCCTCCAGCCTGCGGAAGCATGTCAAAAACCACGCGCTGCGCAATGCCAATGGCCACTTGGGACGTCGAAAGTCGGCGAGTGCGGCTAGCGGCTGCAAAAAAGTCAACAATGGCGCGAGCAAAGCAACAACAGCTAAAATGCGGCGACACTCGGAGTCATCACTGGTCAATGCAACAGCTAAAACAACTGGCGCGCCGGCATTAGCAACATCAACAAAAACAACATCAACAACAACAGCAACAACAGCAAAGACATTTGCGCAAACGACACTAATTGGCAGCAAATTAATGAATAATACACTGAGTCAACAGCAGCAGCAGCAGCAACAAAAACAACAACAACAACAGCAACTACAACAACAGCAACTTGAAACAAGGCAACCACAACAGTATACGCGACAACAACGCAGCAACAGTTGTAGTGAAATATCAACACGCCACAACAATAGCAAGACTAACGGCAGCAACAACAATAACAACAACAACAGCAGCAATAGCAATAGCAACAATCAGTGCGGTTATTATGACAACCACGTTGAGTTAATGACAATATCAACTGATATAACAACAAAAATGTTGAGGCCTGTGAAATTACACGCCACAACAACAGCAACAGCTGCAGCAACCCTACCAACAATAACAACAAACGTTTGCAAAACGTCAACACCAATGCCCTTTACGATCATGCAACATGCCAATAATGCGTTGAGTATTAGCGACATGCCCACAGTATTTGTTACCGCCACTAATGCGAGTGGCAACAATGTGAACAACAACAACAACAACAACAACAAAAGTGATTGTGGCAACAACATTAGCGCGAGTAATTGCAAAAACAATTCGATGAACTTTAATGAATTGTCAAATTGCATTGTGACCATCGAACACAATCAGAATGAGAATTCAATTGATTGCAGCGATGACGACAACAACAGCAACAGCAATAGCAACAGCAACTGTGGCGGCGGCAGCAATGAGGCCATTAACAAGCCCCCGGGCACATTCAGCTCATATGCAACGTGCAAGGAACAGGAAATGGATGCGTTGAGTGTGCTTAGCAATGACAACAAAATCAAAAACAACAACAACAGCAATTGCAGCAGCAGCAGCAACTCTGAGCGCATCAATCAATTAAACGAACTGAAACATTTTTTGCTGTTGAAACCGAAACCTGCAAATAGTGGCCGCCGTGCCAGCAAACAGTCAATAAAGCCGAGTGCAAAAGCAACAGCAACAACAACAAATGCAACAGCAGCACATGCACTTATGTGGCATACAACATCGAATGGCAACAAATATATGTCTCATAGAAATGCCGCTAATTTGACGGCTATTAGCAATATTAGTGAGGAGACCGAACGCACCGATTTGGCTGCTAAGGAGGCAGGAGGGAGCAACAAAATTAGCGGCGACGGTCATAGCCCCGCTACACCGTCCACGCCACCACCACCACCACCGCCACCACAACCATCAGCGGAAGAGTTTGTCTCGTTCGAGTATGTAAAACGTATGTGGGCCGAGACATTCGATTGTGGGGATGAAATCGATAGCCCCAGCGGCGATGAGATAAATGCCGACGCCGTGGTCGATGGCGATGCCGTTGCAGCCAACCAGCGCAGTGCCAATGCGAAACATGCCATTAACCTAAATAAACAATGCAACGCAACGGCGAAAGCGGCTAATGGACAAAGCAGCGGAGTGGCACAAATGTCTAGTGGGGGCAATGAAGATGGCGGTGGCGGCGGTGGCGGCGGCGGCGATAGCAGCAATGCCGAATCGGATTATGCAAATAATTTCGAGATGGATTATTTGCAGAGTTTCATTTAGTGTTGCAGCGCATACTGGCGTGCACACTCTACCATACATACATACATACATACATACATACATACAAAAACTTCCAATCTAACACATAGTTTGCGGCACAATCAATTTGGTATCGGAGGATGCCATTAGCGGCAGCAGTAGCGGCATTGGCGGCATCAGCTGATTTCGAACTAATGATAATTAAATCACTGCTCCGCTAGATGCATCGTACAATGAGCTTTAAGTTTAGCATAGCAAATAATAGTAAAAGTAAGAGTTAGTTAATGTATTGCAGTAGGAGTATTTTTAGACATTTACATACATACATATATGATAACTACTACGGCTTCCACCAAAGACCAAAAAATATTTTTGCCAAAAAAATACCAACTAAGTAAATATTTATCTTTAAGCATTTGTATGAATAGAAAGTGTTATATGCTTCCAAAGATCTCAAAATGCTTGAGTTTTAGCCAACTACTTAGCTTTTTCTTAGTACAAAAATTAAAAAAAAAAATCTTAGAAAATATTTTGTTTTTTTTTTCGTAAAAAAGGCAATATTTTTTCAATAGATGTATTCTCTAAGTCATTCAAAACCCTTTCACGGCATAACTGGTGTTCCTATGGGAAAACTTTGCAATCCGCACAACGCGCAAAGGCTTCGCAAGACTTAGAGAAAACGCCTAATATTTTATAAAGATATTTTTTGATGTCAGAAAGTTTTCAAAAAACGACGTTTCTTGCATCTTTTGGTTACCGTTTTGCATGCGACGTACATACATTGATTTCTTTTCCTTTTTAGTTAGCTTTTATTATAGTAGTACTAAGTGGTATTCTCATGCATTATTTTTAAGCTGTATTTTTGAAAGGCGACAAACTTTGCCCAGTTTTATTATAGGACAATTTATCTAAATGCGTAAATGCCTCGTAACCACGTAAACTTACTTGATTTTATATGGAAAATCGGTTTGTTAGACGAGGTTTGCGCGGTTACGATGCATTTACGCGCTTCCATGAATACCCATATAATTCTAATTTTAGAAATTGCTTGCTTATTTTTCATTTTCTTATGCAAAATTATTGATACTAGTTTAATATCCATTTTTTTAAGTTAGGGAATTAAGTAAAACTTTTTTAAAGTTTTAAAAATTTGTACTTTAGTAAATCAACTCAATAATGAATTTAAGTTGTTCCTGTAATACATTTCCTTTTAGTGATTAAAGCGTCTTCCCTTTACTAGTTTTTTAAATAAAAAGAATAAAAAAATATCTTGATGGCCTGCGAACATGTAAGTGATTGTTTTTTATCGCAATAATAAATAAATTAAAATATTCGAAAACTTTAACTTATTTTATATTTGATTCTGCCCTGCAAACCAAAGTTCTCGAAATCTTAACAAAATTCTTAGGAGTATCTTATTTCTGTGGCGAGTTTTTTACGAATCTTCAAAGGCAATTATATGAAGTGATTGACACGAACTCGTAAAGAAGTTTCTATACGAAAAATAAAGAAAATTCTGAAAAAATTATTTATTTTCATTGCCTTATCGATTTTGTTCCTTCCTCTACCTCTGCTGCCACCAGCGGGTTCCGACTTTCAATACTTTCAAGGCTGGAGCGTCGCTGTCTATTCCAACGACCTCGCCAAGCCAGCGGAGCTGTTGTATGTCAAAAGATTTAATATTCTACTGCGATATATAAATATATATTTTTTAATAATGCCAGATTTTGCGATGCAAACCTTGCCTACAATAACTTTCCTATATCCAGCAATTGTCTATCTGTCCAGAGAGCAATAACATAATTTGTCCAAACAATGGTAATTACTCCTGTTCATAATATACTGCCATGTTGTTGCAAGCATTCGTAAACGAAAGCAAACCTACCTTGCACACGCTCAAGCACACTATGAATGATGCCGAGCACAACCAGTAATTGTAATAAAACGATTTGTTAAAAAATTAATTAACCGAAAAATGAGCTTACAACTCGGCAAAAATGAAACGAAAACAACAAACAACAACAATTATAACAAGTGAAATAAAGTAGCCGAAGAATGTGCGGGGTTTTACGAACAAACGCATAAATCAGGAGTGGGCACCGGCGCTTGCAACCAGACTAACGCATGCAGTGCGTCCTTTGTACGTATATCGATACTCGCATACATACACACAAAATACTTGTATACGCCAGCAAATGTGTGCAGGTTGGTGAGTCTGTGAGCGAAGAAAGTTTCGTAAAGGCCACACGTGCCAACCAACAGCAACAAACTTTTAATGCTTAACTACAAGCGCATTACGTTGCCGATGTGTCGAACCCACACACACACACACACACACAAATACATGCATGCTCTCCAGGCAACTTCCTTGAAAGGACTTGCTTCGCTTGCATCACATATATACATAAGTGCATACATAAAGTGCAACAGCGTATGTACGTCGACCGGCGGCACCAATGGCATCGGAGCACATAATTCATGCGCAAATTAAGTTTCAACTTTTGCCACCAATTTATTTATACGAGTTGTTGTTGTTTGCTGGCGCACTGTTGTTATTTTGTGATGTTTTTGTGGAAACTGAAGCTCGCTTTTCACTTTGCGCGTTGCTATAGCCATACATAGCTAGGTATGCACTTAGTATTTACTCACTTTAGCAATACCAACGATACCAAAAACAATAACATGCTGGAATACTAATAACAGTAGTAGCGTGTAGTGCAGTGGAAGCGACAGCAATAACAATAACAGCTCCATGCCCTAAATTAAATTTTCTTGTTTGTTTCGCGGCTGCTGCATGTTACAACAACATGTGGCGGGCGGCAAGAGCATAGCTGCAATAATTTGGGTTCAGTTTTTCCTTCGACTGCTGCAGGACATGTTGCTTGAAACTATTCACACATACACGGCTGTGTGTGATGCCAATAAAAAGGTCACGCCAACCTTAGTCTATTTATTTAAAAAAAGTTAGGCATTTCGGAAGGCTTTACGTACCAGTTTCTGGATAGGTAAAAAGTATTAGTTATCCAAGTGCAATCACACAGTATATTTATGCACTGTGCTTTCCCTCAACAGCCAACAAAACCTGTTCTTAAAGTGCCATTTTGCAAAGATGATACCTCGGCCTGGCAAGCCGAGTGCCCACTACGCTTACACGATGCCCAAACGCAGAAGAGTGTACCGCAGAAGGACTGAGGCGTGCCTAGTTGCCCCATATTTGGTAACAACGTTTCAAAGGTGCATGTCCTTGGCAGTCATCAGCCACGTTGTTTTCACCGATGTTCGGCACCCCAAATTAGCCTTAATAGGAAGTACTCCGACGAGATTGATAGAGGGGTCAGACATTACCTTACCGATTTCGAGCGCACTATCACCGCGTTCAGGTCCCTGATGTCCGCCTGACTATTCGAGTATCCCTAACTGACGCCAAACCCTTTGTAAGTGAGTCTACTGCTTCTTTGATGTCAGATATTTTCGCCTGAAAGGCGCTGCAGAAGTCCGGAAGCCTGAATATATAGTTTTGATGGAGAATTCCCGACGGAAGAAACATCCATCAGTCCTGTTTTGATCCAGTAACCTCGCCGCGCGCCGTGGTCGAAAATCACAAAGAAAAAAACTGTACAGAATCGGATAAGCGGAATGTATTTACGAAAGCAACACATAAGTTTATATGCCGGGTCGAAAGCAGACTGTCACTTCCTTCTCTCGTCAGAAAAAAAAAGCGCTAAAGCACTATTGTTGCACATATTTCATATAATGGAGTTCCAGAAACAAGCACAATAAAAAATAAATCAAGTATTAGAACAATTTTTGCCTTAGAACGTTTATTAAGGCGAAAAAGTACAGAAATTACTAATTATTTCATTGTCTCTCGAAAAAACCATAATTGTTTTTTTTTTTTTGTTAACAACTTTGTGTGGTCCATATCGAATGATCATATTAGAGGCAATGTACGTTGGCATCAAATACAATGGGCTGCATTTCTTTATTCCTTCTGAACGTTTGGAATAAACTTTTTTGTTTACTTATTTTTTAGGACGTTCCTGATGATATGTTTACGTATATTTCAAACGCATTCTGTTTATTCTGGCTGTGAAATGGAATTAGCTGGAATGTATGAAGAAATGCAGCCAATATATCAGTGAAGTTTTACTACGAAATTAGAAAAAAGTGGCAGCATGCGTAATATCTGTCGCAGCTATTTTGTAATATTTAAAATTTTGAAATTTTGTTATTTCAATGTGTCATTTTCCAAAACGAATGAATCTATAGCAATAAAACTATTATGCCACCAAATAATATATATGTATGTGCATGAAGGATATCACATAAAAAGGTTAAACAAAATTTTTAATTACTTTTAAATTATGTACATGGCTTTTAAGTTAAAGCGTGCGAGTAAACGTATCAGAAGATTGCGTATGGTGCTACGAGGCGTATACGTTACCTACGCACTACGATCATATGAGCACAAGTGGTTGTTTATACTTCTTTTGTATATCTTTTTTAAATTTTCATACATATAAATACATACAATTTAGCGTTGAAATCTTGCTCTTTACACAAAACTGAAAATAATGCATTTCCTAAGATAAGTGTGCCCCCCTTTTCGACCAAAAACACGTTTTTGTCTAAAAATGTAACAACTCGTGAGATTTGCTCAGCGTAGTCTCTTGGCTGACTGTACATTTGCTGTTCGTTGCGCTTACCAAATGCGTAACTGCGTCCGAATATGTCGTTTGTTGGTTTATGCATTCTGTATACTGGGTGAAAAAAAGAAAATGCGCTGGCTACTTGCTTGGCGGAACGATATGCAAGTGGCGACGTTGAAAATACTGTGTAACAGGGTGTAGAAGGTGTAAACCACATTGTAGCGTTGTGTGAGTTCAATTCTGGCTAACCATTAGCGTTCGTTTACACAGTATGTAATTAAGAAAACGGGTTTTCAAATAAAACTCATTTGGAATGTGATTAATGGTGATAAAGTTTTATTTAATGAGAGAATTTTAAAGGCTTTAGAATTTTTCTCATGAAAACATGATTAACGTAATAAAATATTTTTAGTAGAGCATTGCATTAAATTCCATAAAACGACAACTCTTAGTAATTAAAGCTTTCCAATTAAAAAAACACGTCTATGCAGGAAAACTGTGAAATGGTTTGACTGGAGGCAGTTAACTCTGGTGTATGTGTAATTGTGCAGTTTATACTAATATTATCTCGGATATATCAAAAATGCAACAACTGAGTCGCTCAGTCGCTGTTTTTATGAGCTGTCAAATAGCCACTAATTTTTTTAAACAACTCTCAACGTCTTTCGCGAAAGGAAATTTGGAAAAGCAGCTGTAACGTAGCGCTGCCGGAAAGACCCTACAACAAAACTGGAACTCATCAATCCAGTTGTGATAGTTTAATAAACGATAAACCAATTTACATTAAACCAAATGAATACATCGAAAAAAACTTCAAATTTATTTCAAAACGTCAGGCAGTTAAATTTAATTTTTTATTTTTGCTTACACACACTTATGTATTCTTATTTTTACTCTCCCGAAAACTTTGACTTTTGAAAGTTTGACCCGAATTTGGCTTCTAACTGTTTTAATGTACTTGGTTTGACTTTTATATACCGCAATGTCCGTATCAGTCCGGTTTTGACTAAAAAAAATTTGAGTAATCATTGCGAAAGCACTCACATCTATCGACTCGTCTTATTGATGAAAATTTAATTGCATTTAAAAAAATAAAAAAATATATGTATTTACATATTTATGTAGTAGCTTATATGTATGTACGTATGCAATATTTTTTGGGAGGAAACACAAGAGTAATTAATTTATAAAAATAATCATCAGCTTGTATCGAATTACGAGAATTACTGCATGGTATGATTTTAACATGGCTGTCAATGGTTATGTACATATGTACATATGTATGTGTGTATATGCTGGGGTTCGCGCAAAAATTTGTTTGAAAAGCAAGCGGTTCAACATGGCGTATGCGTAACCTTTTTCATTAATTTTTTTTTAAATATGTATGCAAAAATTACCGTTGGTTACGAACTGAAAATGTTGCGAACCTAATTCAATTGAATAGCCCATACATATGTATGTAAGTAAAAATGTATGCGTGTATGTATGTATGTTAATCGTGAATGCAAGAAACTTGAGCTGAAAATTATGAATTTGATGGTCGTGGCCCATGATACAAAAAAGAAGGC